TTAACTCAGGGGTGCTTAACCACTGAGCCATGTTCCCGGCCCATTTCTAACCTTTTTATTTTGAGACACGGTCTTGCTAAGCTGCTTAAGTCCTCACTAAGTTGTTGGGGGCTGGCTATGAACTTGTGATTCTCCTGCCTCAGCCCCCCAAGCCACTGGGATTAGAGGTTGTTGGACCATTTTTATAATAGTTGCTTCAATATTTTTTCAGGTAATTCCAACATCCAGGTTATCTCAGCATCAGTGTCCATGAATTGCCTTTTCCACTCAAGTTTAGATTTTCAAGTTCTTCAGGTGCTGAATAATTTGGAATTTTATCCTCGATATTTCAAATATTACTTCATGAGAACTTGTAGCCAATAGAGGAATGTTTGTATTTTTGTTATAGTTTATCAACATGATTGGGTTTAGATCACAAGTTCTTATCACCCTTTTGTGGATCATTGCTTCAAAGCCAAATCAGTTTTCAAAACTTTTGCAGTGCTCTTCAGATCTATTCTACCTGTGTTTTATCTAGTACCTAGCCTAGGACTTGGGTGGAGATATGTTTCTTAGTTATCACAATCTTTGGCATGATTTTTAGTATCAGATCCATGGAGAAGGTCAAGGTGAACCTAGAAATTTGTAAACACCTTTATGGAATTTTTTTAAAATTTCTAATTTTATTTGGACATAATACCTTTATTTTATTTATTTATTTATACATGGTGTTGAGGATCAAACCCAGGGCCTCTCACATGCTGGGCGAGTGCTCTACCCTTGAGCCCCAGCCCCAGCCCTGGGCTTGTTTTTTAATATAAACTAAATTGTTCTTTTTTATAGCTTTATTGTATTCATTTATTTTTATGTGGTGCTAAGGATTGAACCCAGGGCCTCACACATGCTAGGCAAGTGCTCTGCCACTGAGCCACAAACCCAGCTCAATGTGCTTGTTTTTTTGACCTTCTCCCTCTCCACAATTTCTCTGGTACTTTTTGATTTCTTGTAGTTCTCCTCTTGATCTACTAGCAAGAATCCTGGGTCTTTATTTACTCTTCTTTGCCATGTACATAATGCAACTTTGCCCATATTTTCTTCCAGGTAACAGTAGAAAGAGAAAAAAAAATGTCATTGCGGGTTTGCCCCCACTGTCTTGATGATATGGGATCCTGGGATCTTTTGACTTGATGATGATGAAAATGACTTCAAGTCAGGTGAGTGAATTGGCAGGCAAGGCTTTTTAATGGGGCTTCCATTTAGGAAGGGAGACACAGTTCTGACAAGATGTCTAGCTGGCTCTGAAAAAAAGAAGGGAACTTGTTTTATTGATTATTTGCAGGTGTGCAAATGCTAATTGTCTTTAGATGTACTCAACTCAATCATTTTACCCTGGGCTAGAGATAAGTTCCTGCAGCTGTTCAAGAGAACACATACAGGGCACCCTGATCTCATCAATGCACAGTTGATGGTGGTTGAGGGTAGTGAACACCAAGCCTTCTCGGGTCTGCTGTCAGGCCATGAAGCAAGGCCAAGAAGTGCATCTGCCCTTGGTCCCTATGGCAGTCCCTGTTGTTAGGACCACAACCACTCCAACCAGGGGGAAGAATTTTCCCTCTCTTGGCATTTTGAATGCTTGTGGGTTCTGTGTCCTCCATTATCACTGACTCATCTGCCACAGTAGCATTGTTTATTGGTTAAGGCTTAAGAGAATTAATAGTAAAAAAGGGAAAATGGTATTTATCAGAGTTTTCTGAACATTAGGTGACTTATTTCCTGCTCTTCCTGAAGCTCTCTCTGTCCATGTCAATCCCGCTTCTGGGATTTTGGATTTCCTTGGGTCCAGTCCAGTGTAGACTGGAATTAAAAATGGTAAACTCAGTTTTTACTTCAAATTCTGGTTTTCTTCATAAACTTACCTAGCAAAATGACYTTTCAGAACCTGTAAAGAGTTCCTCTGTGCATTCTGTTAAGGATTTTCTCTCTCTTTTTGAGATGGGGGGTCTCACTCTGTTGCCCAGGCTGGACTTGAACACCTGGGCTCAAGCAACCCTCTTGCCTCAGCCTCCCAAGTTGCTGGGACTACTGGCACATGTCCAGATCTGTTTAGGTTTTATAGCTGCATTCATTGGGAGAGAATGGGTTGATTAAGATTATTCTGTATTAACTGGAATCAGAAACCTCTGTGTTACATAAGTTAGTTTGCATATATATGTATAGATAATGGAGTGTTTGGCATATATTTATGAAAAGTCAGGTGGAGATTTTCGTGTTCTGACTTGACTACTTTATACAATAATTACTCTTCTGATTATCTATTACTGTGGAAGAAGTCACCTTCAAACTCAGTACCCTAACTTAAACTAACATCAATCATTTCATCAATCAGGTTCAGGTGTTTAGGCTCAGCTAGATGATTCTTTGGTTCATCCTTTTTTAATTTTTTTTTAAATTTTTTGGTCCGGGGGATTGAACCAGAGGCTCTTTACCAATTTATACCTGAAGCCCCCCCCCTTTAAATTTTTTTTTTTTGTAGTTGTATATGGACAGGATGCCTTTATTTTGTTTATTTTTATGTGGTGTTGTGGATTGAACTCAGTGCCTCATGCATGCTGGGCAAGCACTCTGCCGCTGAGCTACAGCCCCAGCCCACCCTGCAGCCCTTTTTATTTTTTATTTTGAGACAGGGCCTCACTAAGTTGCTAAGGCTGGCCTCAAACTTGTAATCCTCCTCTCTCAGTCTCCTGAGTCACTGGGATTATAGGTGTGCACCACCATGCCCAGCAGCTAGATTGTTCTTGCTTATGGCCTCTTATAGATTTATAGTAAGATTGTGACTGGAAACAAAATAATTTGAATGCTCAGTAATTCACATATATGACATTTGGGCTAGGAATACTAAAAAAGTTGGGGCTCCTGTGACATCTGCTTCTATTGATGGATGGGCTTTCTATATGATTTCTCTTGCATGGCAGCTTCAAGGTAGGTAGATTTCTTACTTAGAAGCCCAAAGTTTCAGAGTGAGTGGAGAGTGTATGAGAAGGAAAGCGAGACTGAGAGCAACACACACATAGGAGCTAGACCACCTTTTCCGACCTAGCCTCACAAATCACATCAATTGCTACTTTCTGTTCTTTGAGATAGTACCAAAGGTTCATGTAAGTTCAAGGGGAGGGAACATAGATGTCATCTCTTGATGAAGTGTGCTAAGGTTCTAGGATTGAAAATACAGTTGGAGTCCATTTTTGGAAAATACTATCTGTCTCAAATACTAAGAAATCTGTACTATTTTTGTACCAGGGATTGAAGCCAGGGGTGATTAACCAGTGAGCCACATCCCCTGCCTTTTTTTGTATTTTAGTTAGAAACAAGGTCTCACTGAGTTTTTTAGGGCATCACTAGGTTGCTGAGGCTGGCTTTGAACTCAGGATCCTCCTGCCTCAGCCTCCTGAGCTGCTGGGATTACAGGCATGTGCCACCATGCCTGGCTCAAAATCTGTACTTTTAAGGTAGCTTCAGCTACAGGGAAAAATCCTGTCCTTGATTTCTGGGAGTTCAAGAGGGCATAAGATTATGATTGATTTGACCAGGTTTTTGTAAAGACAGCCTTTCTGTAACTTTCCTGAAATTAGATCAAAATTCCCCATTGTTGTCTAACCATCTGGGTTTTTAGTATTGGCAGTTTCACTGGAACCTGCATAGGACTTCTAATTGCATATGGATTTTTTTTTTTTTGGCAGGGGCTGGGTGACAGTCTGGAGGAGTAGGGAAAGGCACTGACTAAAATATAGATGAAGAGATTTCCCTGTCATAAAGAGGGCACTCACTGGACACTCTTGGCAGAATGTTCACCTAGAAGGGAACAGGGGAGGCAGCAGTGATCTGAATAGCTTTCCTAACTTCTTCAATGAATTTTCTTAAAAATGCAAAATCCTCTGGGAGAGAAAACAAGGAGAGTTGATGGGAATTATTTCATAATGATTCAATAAACATTTTTGAGCATAGGACTTCATCAGGACTTCAATAATTAAGTTAACTTCTCTTTTTTTCTTTGACCAGAGGGACAAGATGGATTGGAAAATTCTAGTTTCTAAGGATTTGTTTCAAGAGGCTTGTTGTGAGGCCAATTCATAAATCTTTTCAGAGTTGAGCTTTGTTCTAAGATTCAAAGACTCCCTGAGCTACCAGGAAGTCAAAATAAAAGGGTCATCAGTGTAAACCCCCTCCCATTGGTCCACCGATCCTGTGTTAGGGCCACCTGCTACTCATCTATCCGGTGTGGTGTGTTCACTTCTTTCTGGTTCAAACTTCTTCCCCAAGGGACTTAGCTGCAGTCTTTTTCCAAGAATGTCAGTCTATTTTTTTCCAAATAATGAAGGAGGTATTTCAACGCCCTCTTCCGATTCTGACCTCTACCAATCCTCACATTGACCCAGACTGGAGCAGAGGTTTGAATGAACCCTAGCAGATATTGGGGAGTCCTAAGAGATGGAAAGCAATATGAAAGGAGAGAAAAGAGGTCTAGGGGGTTATATGGCTTCGTGGGTCCTCAGTTCCTTCAGGGTTCCCACTTTACTGGGCCCAAAGCGACTACATACTGGCGTGAGATCAAACTGTTTGCGGTGGCACCAAAGACAGGACTAGAGACCGCACCGCGAGGGAATCCAAGCTGATGCTCCTGGCTCATGCCAGGAGCAGGCGACCTCTGCCGTCCCGTTTAGGCAGCGCGGTGGCGACCCCAGAAGGTCTGGCCAGGTACGCCAAGACCTGGTCAAGAACAGAGACAGGCAAAGGGCCGGCGACCCGCCCGTGGATAGGAAGGCGACAGCTGGCCACGCCTTGGCTGCCGGGTCGGCGCGGGGCGCGGCTCCGCTCAGCAGGGGGATGAACAGGTGCGCGGGCGGGGGGCGGTGCTTGGGGATCCTGCGCACTGTGCGCGCCCCTCCCCCGCGCAGCTCCAGGCGCAGTCCCAGCCCCGGCGCGAGCAGGAGGAGGAGCTGCGGCGGCCACGGCTACTCCAGCAAGTCCGCGGCGCCACGGTAACCCGCCGACGGCGCGGGCTACTGGTACCCGCGTGGAGGAGGCGCAGGCGGCCCTGGGGCAATGGAGCCTGGTGACACGGCGCGCCCGGGCCCTGGGCGGGCTGTCCGTGCGCTGCGGCCACGGCTACTGCTGCTACCACTGTTGCCGCTGCTACTGGGTCGGGGGCTGCGTGCTGGGGCCGCGGCCTCCTCTTCTGGGGCGGCGGCTGAGGACAGCAGCGCCATGGAGGAGCTAGCCACTGAGAAGGAGGCAGAGGAGAGCCACCGGCAAGATAGCGTGAGCCTGCTCACCTTCATCCTGCTGCTCACCCTCACCATCCTCACCATCTGGCTGTTCAAGCACCGCCGGGTGCGCTTCCTGCACGAGACCGGACTGGCCATGATTTATGGTGAGCACCCCTGCCGCACCCCCCACCCCCACATCCCTCCAGCAGCGGGGCCCCTGCGCTCGCCCCTGCGCTCCTCCCAGCGCTGCGCGGTGCTCCCCCTTCACTTGCCAACGTGTTTGGTTTCTTTTGCGTTTCCCGCTGCGACGATGTGAGCTCCCAAGGTCAACTGTCTGCCTTTTCTGGCTTTCTACTACCGTTAAAAAGAATTCCACCCCGTTTCGACGTTTCTTTACCAGGGACCAAGGAAAATGAAAGGCATAGAGATGGCCCAGTTCCTTCCGCCCGGTTCTGTCTCTGTTGCGCCCCTCTCCATCACCCGCCTCCCCACCCCAGTTCAGATCTACATAGTGTGTGTGTATGGGCCAAAGGTGGTTGACTTTCTGGGAGGCCACACCACGTAGGGGTGGGGATGAGGGCTGAAGGTGTCTCTGCTTGGATATGGGCTGGACCGGCCTCTTATTTGCCACATCCACAGTCAACCTAGGTAGGCGCCCACTTATGAGGTCCGTGTTCCCAGGTCTCTTGTTAATAATAAAGCCAGAACATTAAGTGCTGTGAAAGGTGAGTTTGGTCCATAACCCAGAGTGATGGCACCACTGTGTCAAGCTTCTAGACTGGAGACAAGTTCATGTCCTTCTCTTAGATCCCAGTGGGAAGTTATACCTAGTTACTTGCTTTTACTTAAGCAGAGAGGAGCTTTTGTATTCCTAAAATGGTAACATGGAACAACTTTGAATATACATTTCTGAGTGTGTGAAGAGGAAAAGTAGTGGTTTTAATTTGAGAGTCAACCTGATTTTGTCGTTAAGGATGGGCTGCTGCCACCATCCTTTTCTGGATTTAACAGGACACTGTATTATATGCGTGGTGGTCAGTATAAATCTCCTGTTATTATGTGGATAACAACAAAGCAATAATCTGAGTCATCCCTCTCCTCTATACCCCCTCTTATTCCCCCATGATTCCAAACTAGAGCCACATACATGTTCTTTTGAATTTAATTCAGTGATGTTAAAGCCCATGTTGGCATCCTCCAGTGAAATAGATGAACCACTTAATGACTGTTCCCAAGTAGGAACGTTTTACTTCATCACTTATACTGAAAGAATTTATTCACTCAATTTCTATCCAGGGTTTCCTGATAGAGTGGAAAGCAGACACCTTTATATATATATTTTAAATTTATGGTTGTAGATGGACAGAATGTCTTTATTTTATTTGTTTATTTTTATGTGGTGCTGAGGATTGAACCAAGTGCCTCTTGCAAGCTAGGCATGCACTCTACCACTGAGCTAAAGCCCCATCCCTGACACCTTAATCTTTAATGTGCAAATTACCCTTGGCCCTGGGCATTGCTTCTCCTGGTTCTTGGTTTGTTGCTGACAGCCAGGGCTCCTGACCTTTTCAGACAAATTTTTTTAAGAGGCAAATGCTTTCAGGAGCCCTCCAGCCTTGAAGAAGTAATGGCTTAAGCAGGTCTTGAATCAAAACAACCACATCTAAAATGAAGTTAGTTATTGTACATCATAGGTTTCAGGAGAGACTTTGGCCTCCATACCTGCCTGTTCTTGAGCCCTGTGCTTTGGGACACAAATGACTGATGTGAGGGTGGTGGGTAAGCCTAGAGAATTCCTGAGTAGGGAATTAAAGCATGTTGTCATTTCAGGTGATTGACTGAGAGCCATGTTGCAAAGGAAGACTACCTTTATATGTATGTAGATAGCCATGAAAAAAATATATATATTTATTTTATAGGCCCCAGATCCATCTCCTTAAAGGACAATGTGCAACAGAAGTAGATTTGACAGGCTCATAAATGCGTGTGCTCAAGTGAGGATTTAAAAATATATTTTCTGAGGAGTACTCCATGTTCTTAGGGATTCGGTCACTTATGTTAAGGCTTAAAAACAACAGTGGAATTTTCCTTTGCTGATATATACTGGTTTGTGTTGTGTGGACTGAGCCCAGGGCCTCATGTATGCAAGGCAAGTGATCTACCATTGAGCTATGCCCCCAGCCCTGCTCATACGTACTTTAAAAACTCACCCTAACCTGTTAGTCATTGGGGATGTGCGCCTGTGTGTGTGTGTGTGTGTGTGTGTGTGTGTGTGTATGTATGTATACATGTTATGGACAAAAATGTTACTAACCTGGCTTAATTGATGATCATTCAGAAAAGGCAGCATCATCTCATAGCATTCCTATGTCATTTTGTTCTATATCTTCAGTTCTTGGTGTTACTTTTAAATGTATCAAGAAATTTATTTTGTCAATGTGTAACATCTGCGAATATCCCAAATATTGATATTTTGATTTGCATCATTTGTAATCATGAGAAAACATTTTTCTTTTTCTCTCAGGGATATTTGGTCTTCTGTTTCAGTCGCACCCATCTGAATTCTAATGTCATCTGATTAGCTAATTATTCATTATATACTGCAGATTATTGGCATGGGGATTCTGTTAAAATTCATTTTGATAATATTTTAAAAATTATCTATTTAAAAAGGTGTGCAACATGATGTTTTGATATACACAGTGAAATGATTACTACAGTTAAACCAGTCTTTGAACGTTTAAGTGAATGCAGTACAGATTTTTCAGGACTTCCCTTTTTAAATAGTAAGAAATCAGATTTTTATTTCTTGATATCAGTAGAGGAAGTGAGTAATTTTTCAATTGGCTCTGAGTAATAAAGGACTGAAAGACCTAAGTAAACATTTGTTAAGTATCAGCTGTGCGCTTGGTACTTGTTTTAATTTCTGGAGGCAAACAATTAGATTTTTAACTGTTGGTAAATTGTTTTAAGTCAAAGAGTTCAACTGTGAATTTTAAAACGCTTTATGTTGAAAAAAATTTAAAGTATAATTTCTATTTAAATTGAAGTGATGCTTCAATTTGAGAGGGGTGTTGTTAAATATTTAAAAAATACATATAAGCTGGTATAATCATAAACTATTTCTGGAAGGGCATGCAATAGACTAGTAATATTAGTTTCCTTGGGAGGGAGGAACTAGCTGGACATGAGATAGGAGTGGGAGGGTGATGTCACTGTATACCCTTTTATGGTTTTTGATTTTTGAACGATGGAAGTGGAATCACCTGATAGTGTGTCCATGTCTCCATTCTGTGTCACTTGTGATGGTATTTAAGGTGTTCCTCAAATCACTCAATTTCACACCCACTTCCCCCTGTTTAAATCACATGTTATCATTTTTCTGTGCCCTTTCGGTTCCTGAGATGGAGACAAAATGGGGCAAGAGTTTCCTTCCTCTCCTCCTTATTATTCCCATTGTCCCCAGGGAAGAGCTGATGTTTACTTCAGGAGAGGTATGCCCAAATAGACCCTGTTGTAAATGCTTGCTGGGATGCAAAGGAGGTGAGAACAATAGGAGACATGTTGTGCAAGCTTAGCATTTAAACAGAAAGGAACTCCTCTAATCAGCAAGGTACAGTTCTAAGCTCTTCTGCCAGACCATAGGTGGAGGCAGCTACAAGAAAAGAGTCCCTCCAGTGAGGTTGAAAGCAGCCCCCAGACCCTACTATGCCAGCTGCAGGCATGGGGCAAGGCACCAGTCTGGCACCAGTCTAACCTGTTTTGTCAGGCCAGGGAGCTCCGAGCTGGCTTTGTATGTGATTGAAGTGGCATCCTATAGTTACTGGGCCCTGCATGTCTGCACAGCAGAAACAGTAAGTGGTTGAGGTATGGAAGGGTGGCATAAACAGGCTTTGTCAGTAAACTGTGATTCTCTCTTAAGTGTATGATAGTTCTACTTCCTCCACGATATATATATATATATATATATTTTTTTTTTTTTGGTGACAACTGATATGGGTTCAAAATATCCACAAGAGCCCACCACCTGCTTCTCACTTCCCCTTCCTCCACTCCTATCAGTTTTCTGAGGACTTGTTGATTTGCCCCTCTGGGTTCTGTGGATCCTGGGCTCATTGCTGCTCTGTTGCTGGGTTGGAGCTGGATTGCAAAGCACAGCCTGAGAGTGGGTTCCTAGGGTAAGTCTCAGAGGGGAAAATATAATTCTTGGAAATAACAAGAAATTAACATTTGAGCCTGTGAATAAACATTTTAGAACCACCGTTTTCCTGGTTAATCAGAATTCCTCCCCCTCCTTTTTAAGGAGCCCCTCACTTTGGCCCCCATTTGGGGCAGCTATGTATGGTCTTGCTTTGGTATCTTTTACCTCTGAATGAATTCAGTGAGGTTGAAAGCAACCCCCAGACCCTACCATGCCATGGTAGTCTTGTTCCTTATAAAGCTTGAGCCTTAGTTTCCTCTTTGGGAAAATGGAGATAATGTTACTCAACTCAAAGGATTACTGAAGTATTGTTGAGATATTTTAAAGGGTCAAGGGTAGTGTCTGGCACTTAAGCACTTGGTAAATATTAGTTCCCATTCTCACTTTTGACTTTGTTCTTTTTTTTCTGGTGTGGGGATTGAACCCAGGGCCTTGTGCATACAAGGCAAGCACTCCAACAACTGAGCTATGTCCCCAGCCCTCACTTTTGACTTTGTGATTCTTTGGCAAGCTATGCTACTTGAGGTTTGTTCAGCAGAGGCCCACTGTGATTTTAAAATGCATTAGGACACAGTGAGAGTGGGGAGAATTGTGTGTTTTTGGTGACCTATTTATTAATACCTAGAAAAAGATCTACAATGCACCTACCCCTCCTTTTATCCAACAGTTTCAAGACTTGCACTTTATCCTTCAGAAGTACTTGCATTGTATTATATAGACAGCTGTTTTAGTCAGCTTTTTCACTGGTGTGACCGAAAGAGCTGACAAGAACAATTTTAATGGAGAAAAGTTTATCTATTGCTCAGGGGTTCAGAGATCTCAGTTCATAGATGGCCGGCTCCATTGCTCTGTGCCTAAGGTGAGTCAGAATGTTAGGGCAGAAGGTCATGATGGAAGAAATTATCTCAGGACATGACAGTCAGGAAGCAGAGAGTGAGTTTCCCTCACCATGGACAAAATATA